AGGAGGTGGGGAAGAAAGGAGGCGAGTCTTGGGGCAGCGTGACTGGTGGTGAGCCAGTTCATGCATAGGAGGAAGCAAATTGTGGCACTCTATATGCACAGCAGTTTGGAGAAACACGGCTAGGGAGGAAGATTTTGGCTGCTGGAGCAGAGGTAAGCCAACATGTGGCAGGGGAGTGAAGGTGGGGTGCAGTCCTCAGCTTTGCTAGGGGATTTGAAATGAGGAACAAGGCTAATGTCCTGAATGAAACTGGTAAAAGGAACGAAAGTCTTAAAGCTGGACCCATCCTTGGCTGTCAGCACCAGCAATAATTACTTTTCTAATGTGACTATCACTCTTCAAGGCTGCCCCCCACCCTCACCCCACTGCACAGTTCCTGCAGGAGCGCTGCTCCGGAATGCCGCGCTTCTGCAACATCCTCCTGGCTGTAATCCAGATTCATTCCTGGGTAGTTTATCTTAGTTTATCCTTACAGAAACAGCTCTTCTTGATATTTACCCCAATCTATTTTTAGAATGCAGTTGTGCAAAGAATCATCTGGCAAGGAGACAGGGATCTTATCAGAAAGTGTTACAGGAAAAAAAAAAATTAAAGAAAAGATTAAGATTCCATGTCCCTTTAAACGCAGTAGTTGCATTGTTTTGTTGATTAAGTTGATACTTAAATTAAAAAACTGTTGGTAATCCGTACAGGAGTGCGGGGAGTATTGGGTGCTCATGTTGTGCTGAGAACTTGAAAGGGGAAGATGTGGTATTTCACTGTCTGAAAATGTCTGTTCACAAGTTGAAGGACTGTCATTTTCAAATCTATCATTTGGCTGTTGTTGACAAAAGGTTGTTGAAGAGGAAAATGGGACAGATCATTTTATCTGTCTCTTTGCTCAGAAGGAGCCAGGAAATAAGTACAGCATGTTCAGCAGAGGTTGCTGAGAGCTGAATGCTGAGGAGCAAGTGTTTGGTGACACTGCCGGTAATGGGAAGGCAGGGCTAATTGAAGGAGTTTTCTCAATGGACAGGTTGAAATCAGCAGAGGAAAAATGACTGCTGGATTGGTATTTATAATTCATACCGGAGCTTTGGGGCATCATCGCAGTATTTTTACCTAATAGTAATAGGAAAAGGAATGTGAGCAAGGGTTTCCATGCAACATAACCTCATTGTAGTTGAGCTGCTGTTGCATTCAGGAAATCAAGAACAAAATCACATCCAGTGGCACCACCTGCGCTTCCCTATTGCCTGCATCACCTCAGACTGCAGATCGCCTGTGCTTTCGGTCCCCAGGCTCCACTGCCATTTTCTTGCCATTTCTACTATGTAATTAAGCCAGTGTGCTACAGCTGTTCATTAACCTTGCATTGTTTTCCCAAACGGAAATAAAATAAGTAGTTTGCTTGCTGTTTTCTTTTTCTACCCATATCTGTATATCTATATTTAGATTTCAGATTTAGAACTGAATTGTACCAATTCCTGGGGGTGCTGATTCTGTTCTGGCAGAAGTTTGGGTACTTAACAGTGTCAGTGATGGATTTTGGGAGGCCAGCTGGACAACTTGGCTTGGTGCAGACCCTTCTCATTCAGAATCATCAGGTTTTAAATCATGAGAATCAGTGGAGTTACTTGGCTTTAGAAATGCCTGGATTAAAAAAAATAAAAAATTGGTTCTTTGAGGAGCTATTCAGACCACATTCAATTTTGCACAGCTAGATTAGCTATCAAAACTAGGTACCCAAGCACTCATTGAATTTTTAGAGAACAGCAAGGCTCACTTTCTGGAGCCCACATTAAACATACAAAGAAACAAAATCTTCAGATTCAGCCAACTAAATTCAGTGCCAGAGATGGCACCATAGGAATAGTCCAGTTACGTTGAATCATCTCATATCACCTCATAAATACAGCATTATTACTATACACTTAAACTCTGTATTAAACCAAAGGCACTGTTCACTTCAAAAATGACATTTTGATCTGTTATACTGTAGGAAATCTGGGATAACTGCTTAAATCAGTGGAATGGAATTGAACAGATTTATAGCCTGGCAAAATATACTCCGAAATCTAAGTGGAACTTATTTATCCACATGGGAGTTGCTAGGAGTATGCCAGACAGATAAATTTGTAGAAATAAAGATGGAAATTGAAGCAGGAAAATATTCAGTTAACTTCCAATGCAAAGAAACTTTAAAAACGTATGTATTGTTAAGGGAGGACTGTTAATATATTTTATACCTAAGTCTCTTATTTGAAAGTTTGGGATTTTTATAGTCCACGAACCCATGTCTTCACAGAGTAGAATTTCCTCAGGGTGTGAATTGTTTCTCAATGTGTATGTACAGCCCCAGGCAGACAAAGAGCCAAAGCATTAATTCAGACTTCTGAACATTATCGTAATTCAAATAATAAACGGTTTGAGTGTCACTTTTAAACTGCTTTAGTGCAGATGGTCTTTTTCTTAATTCCCAGCCCCATAGTTAGTGAGCTGAGCTTATTGAACTGCTTGCCAATTCTGTTAAGAGCAGATGGAGTGAAACGGGATCAAGGCAATATTTCAGCGCGGCTCCCATGCATCGGCTCCCACCCCCAGATTCCATTATCGACGTACATTTTACAACTCCACATCTCTCGCCATCAGCGGTTAGAATTATAAAAAGGTTGAGCATACTTGGCTTGAATGTCAATAATCAATAAGGATGTTCATCTGGCTTAATAAGGATAAATTGTTGCCCTTGAAACAACACACCATTCCAGCAGTCAAAATGAACTAAGACTAGTTCCTTGATATTTATAGTAACTCTGGGTGTCTGTGCATTTGTGTGCACATACACACTTCTGTTACGCATTTCTCTGACCATTCCCTAGCACTATGGATTCCTCTTGTCGGTCTTATATTAAAGTGTGAAATTAATTCTTTTGAGTGCTCCCCTTTTAAAAGCTCATTTCTTCCCCTTCAGACTGGCTTTTTTTCTAAGTACTTTCATTACAAACTCTGTCTTGCTAAAAAGCTGCCAGTTTCCCCTTCCCTGGTGACAAAGCACGCTAAGTGGGATTTTCACTACGCTGCGGGTGGACTGTCGCTGCCTCTAAAGTGTGTGATCAAATTCTGTCCAGCTTTAGCTAAGACAGATAGGCATCTGTGTGACAGACTTGTATTAATTCTGAGTGCTTAGGAAATACTGGTGTTGCTCCTTTGGGAAGCTGTTACCGTTTTTACAGAAAGCATGAATGTTCTGATCACAAAAAAATACATAATACATAAGCAGCGCTAATGTCAAGATCAATGGAACCCCAGAGACATCAATTTTGATGTTCTGGTGAGTAAAACAGTACATTTAGTAAACAAAACAAGCCAGAAGTCATCCTCTGGCCCTCAGACTAGCTGGCATGTGCAATCTGTGGCCAAATGGCTAAACTCCTCCTGCGTAAATAGCAGTGGCTGCATGCAGCTTTCCTTGTGGGACTCATCCGAGGCGTTTTCTGAGAGGCTGTTGTCACCAGGCCAGGCTATGGCATAGACCATGCTAGCCGTATAACGGTGTGGGTGAGTGGCCGTGCTGCTCCCATACCCTCGCAATTTTTACGTCACTAGTACAAACACAATACGTTTGTCCAGAATTTTCACTGACCTCCCCGAAAGTTTTGTGACTTCAGATAAATTTCCATTGCAGGGATGTCCTTCATCTAAATTTCTTTTCAAAGTTGGCGGGAGCTCTGTAATTTACCTGGCCGACTTTGAAGAATCTAAGTTTCTGAAGGTGTAGGGGCTGGAGGAAGCATCCAATAGTGCTGGGGTTTGCTGGTAAAATGTTGGGTTGGAATTCTGCAGAATTACTTTCCACTTCCCCAGATGTCAAGAAGCCTTCCATCTATGAAGTCCATACTATCAGTAAATTCTAAGTGCTAATAGCAGGATATGACAAATTCCATGCCAGTCTCAGTAAAAATGGGAGCTTCTGGCTCCAAGGGGCGAGGGAGGTCATTCTACCACTCTACTCTGCCCTGCTGAGGCCATGTCTGGAGCCCTGTGTCCAGTTCTCAGCTCCCCAGTTCAAGAAAGACAGGGAACTACCGAAGAGAGTCCAGTGGAGGGATACAGAGATAAGGAAGGGACTGGAGCATCTCTCTCATGAGGAAAGGCTGAGACACCTGAGTCTGTTTAGCCTGGAGAAGAGAAGAGAAGACCAAGAGGGGATCTCATCAATGCTTATAAATATGTAAAGGGCGGGTGTGAAGAGGATGAGGCCAGACTCTTTTCAGTGGTGCCCAGTGACAGGACAAAGGGCAACAGGCACAAACTGGAAGGCAGGAAATTCCATCTCAACATGAGAAAAAATTTTTTACTTTGAGGGTGACAGAGCAGTGGCACAGGCTGCCCAAGGACGTTGTGGAGTCTCCTCCTCTGGAGATATTCAACACCCACCTGGATGCAATCTTGTGCAACCTGCTCTAGGTGATCCTCTTTTGGCATTAGATTATGTCCAAAGGTCCCTCTTAACCTCTACCATTCTGTGATTCTGTATGATTCTGTGATTCACAGAATCCATAAAGCTCTGTTTGCCCCCTGTATCCCAGGAGTTAGTATAAGGCGGCCTAAAATTTGCTGTGTTTTGCCACTAAGTACAAGAGTGACAGATCCTTTTCTTGGCTGGGACCTGGGTCTATGTCAGTTCATCTCGAGTGAGTAAGTGTGGCCTCGATGTGGAAGTGCCATGTCCCAAAGACATTGCTTAGTCCCAAAGACTGTTGGGTAGTAGCTTCTGTGGGCTGGAACCAGACACTCATGTTTTAGTGTTTGCTTATGTCATTTTTAACCTTCTGTTTCTTTCCCTTTCCTGGCAGATTTTTATTGGTGAGATATCCATGTATTTCATAAAGTCAACCCGAGAAACCCTAATTATTCAAGAGAAAACTATTTTGACTGGAGAGTGCTGTTACCTGAACCCGCTGCTTCGAAGAATAATACGTTTTATAGGTAAGCATCCTGAGCATTGCAAGTTTAGTTCCTGTTTGCACCAAAACAGAATGAAACATCCTAAAAATCTACACCACAAAATTAATTAAGCTGTGAAATCTTTGCAGGCATCTCCCACCTTAGAGGGATAGCCCCCCTCGGGATTTGCAAGGTAACGTTCAAAATGTGCCATATCATGCTGTCTGGAGCTGGTTTATATCCTATTCTGCTGAGCTTAATGCTTCTGGACCCTTGAAGAAAGGTTATGCCAATCAAATCCTTATATGAATAATTCCATCATTGCTATTCTGTGTAAGCTTCCCATTTTACTTACAAATTGGTCTTCACCAGCCCATCTCTTTGGCATTTTTCTTTTCAGCTCTAATTTTAACATCCATAGCTCTGCCACATAATGTTCAGCTGAGCACAGCGTAAAAAAGCCCAAAGTCCACTTCAGAATAACGTTCTTATTTTTATTGTATTTGTTTTTTGTTAGAGCTTTCATTGGGTTAATCGCTGAGAAATGAATGAAGAAGTTCTGTCACTAAACCATTTGGAGGTTGCTTTATATGGTGCTTGCAAGCCGCTATGCCTTTTTCATACTGTTGATTAGTGGAAAAAATGCCTACGAGACCTTACTGGGGGGACCGTTCCATGGTTCTTTTGAAGCAGGAAGAGGAACAGCATTGCAGCTTGCGTTTCCACTGTGGCACAGAGAATCTGGTGGTCCTCTGAAGGTTTCCCAATTCACAGCGATTTACAGCTGCCCAAACTGCATCCCTCAGTGTTTAGGAATTAGGAGGGCTGTTGCTCACTTGCTACTGCCTTGTAGCAGCAGAGTAAGAAGGTGGCAGCTCTGGACTGCATGTGCAAGGGGCTCCAGTTTCCCTCCTTACTCATCCATGAGAAGTCCTGGGTTCATGCATGGGATGGGATGGGATGGGATGGCTTGGCTGCTGGTATGGGCCAGTGGCAAACATGTCTCCCCACTGACCAAAAGGGGCTTTGCCCACAGAACATCATGGAACCTCCATCTCCGTATAATCTTAGAGATAAAGCATCCTTACACATTGCATCTTACAGGGAGCTGGGTCCGGAGTCACAGTCTCAGTTAAAAGAAGCCACAGAACAAAAAGCTGAAAATATCTGGATCGTCTCTTTCCGGTCACTGCTGAATTTTTGAGCTTTATCTGGAAGAAAAATGTCTGCTGTGACTGTGGCAAGGGTTGTATTGCTTCCGCAGAGCACGGCCCTGGCTGCAGGCAGGGATACTTGCTCAGAGCATGGAGTTGAAAGTCTCATCCTGTGCTAAGGTTTTCATCAGCAGCAAATACATGCTGCAAAGGAGGAAGAGCCATAGTTTTCTTTCTCCCTCTCCTCTCTCTGTACCTCCTGCTTTGTGCATGGAAGTTAGGAAGTGAGATGTTTTTTTACCTTCTCCCACACTGAGGGTGGAGACAGACCACCTGTGGTTCATTACTCAGGCCCGGCCTGTGTGCTGCTGATGAAAACAAAAGACATGGGAATGTGGATAAAAGTAAAATACCCTTGAACTTCAGATAACCTCTAGGATATATTGATGGGTAGTAAACTGCCATTAGGAGAGAAGCAGGGTACCGGAGTCCGCTGGACCACCCAGGGCTGTTTGACTGTTCCAGCACATTCAGCGTGTTGCAAATTCCTGATCAAATACTCTCGCCTGTGGGGTCAGCACTAAAAGAGCTTAAACCATAGAGGTTAAGCGCTTGTTCTGTATGTTTTCTTACATAGTTAGCTTTATTCTTAAATATTCATGCTATTGTTTCTCTTTTGGTGGAAGAGGAGGGGATAGCGATAATAGAGTGGACTCCTGGAGAGTAGTAGGATACAAACCCTGCTAGAGAAAACAATCTTGGCTTTGCAGCTTTGTTTTTCTTCCCGAGAAAAAGGAAGTTAATATTAGGAATGGCTTTAAGTGTTCGTCTCATCTTAAACTACACTGATTGCTTGTTTTCTTGTGAAACCTTCTCCCTGCCTCTGCAGTAAAAGGAGAAGCAGAGTTTGTTGAAAAGTGGCTGAAATAATTTATGAAAGGAATTAAAATAGTTGCATGTTTTTCATTCCCGCAGCATTTTGCAAACATTGCATGGACTGAACAGCTGTAGACCGTGCTGGATGATCAGGGAAGTTAGCTCCATAATGCTGATTACTCTACAAAAAGGCTCCCTGGATGCTTGAGTCTGGAGAGACTACCATGTTGCTCATATGTGGATTTCCTTGTGTGTATCTTCTCTTGCTAAACTTGAGGGCCATAAGTTACAGAACTGATTAAGTAGGTTGCCTTCCAAGATACCCTAGCAAGCAGTCTGGCTTGTAGCAAAGAAGTTTGCTGCCAGTTTACTCTTGGTACATATTCATTGGAATATCCACATCTGATGATATCTTTTGGCCCAAATGTGTGACCAAGAGTCTTAAGTGAGTAGCTGCAAAAAGTAGTAAATTAACTCATTGGAATATTGCCTTATAAGTCATTACAGTTGGTATTACTCAAAAGAATGAGAAATATGTATCTGGGTGCTCATATGTCAGGAAAAATGAACACTAATTCCCGACCCTGCAAGGCTCATCATGGAGATCTTTTGAGAATTGCTATTTCCAAATTTTAGAAAGGCAAAGAGTCATTTTCTCCCTCCCTGACTGTAACTACAGCTGCTGGGAAGAGATGGTGTTTCAAGAATAGTAGCCTAAATGTGCTTGCTGCAAAACAAGGAGAAAGTTATAGATACTTCATTGAATGTTCACTTAGATTTTGTAAGGAAAGAGAAACAAAAGGGGAAACTCCAGACTACTTTTGGTGATGCAAAAGATAAGCATCCTTGTCATACTGTCTCCACGGGATATTTTGGATTTGGTTGCTAGGTGAGCCTTTTCCCCTCTTGCTTTTTCTTCATGTGTACAGAACGAAGCACTTTTTTGAACTTTGATAGTGGTGCAAAGAATTAAGCAAAACCAAGAAGCCGCAAGTCTTCTGGGATGTTGGTGAAGCCCCATGTTTCTTTTCCTTGATTTTCCTTACCTTTCCTACTGTGCTCTCTGCTTATTCTCTCCGTGTTTTCCTCAAGCCCTCATCAGCTGTCTGTTTCTAAGATTCTCCCCTCCTTAGTTTAGTGAGGACTTTGAATGTTGAGCTTCGTCTTAAATCCCTCCCTGGTTCTTTGTCCACAGGAAGCAGAACCAAAATCTCATCTTGCTTCCTGGCCCAGACTTGAATTCTGCATCGGTAGACATTTGCTTTTGTGGCAAAGGGCTGTCTCTCAACTTGCTGTTAAGTCCTTTACTGCAACCTAGATAGGTGAAACCTACTATGTTCCCTGTACTTAGAAAATCAATTCCTTTATCAGTGGAAAAAAGCTGGCTTAGCTTGGAAACATCAGACTTTGATATATGTTGCAATTTGTTCCATCTTCCTCTTTATCTTTTATGGCTGCTTCCACAGACATTTATTTTGAAGATTTTCAGGTGAAACAAGTGGTGTGCAATTGCTTTGGAGCAGTTTTTTCTGTCTAAAATATTGGTGCTGCACTGCTATTCTTTAGTCACATCATCTCTCCTCCCTCCTCTCCCCACCGCTCCCAACAGTTTAATTATTAATTTCTGCTGCCAAAATTTGCCGTTTATGTGCTGGACCTTTGAGAAACCAGGGGGGGAAGAGTGGTTGTTTCTTGGGCCTCTGCCTCTTCTCCCTGTCTCCCAACTTGAGTACACACAGCCTTTTTGTATTTTTATATACCTTTTCTTGAGGTAATTTCCCTTTCAGTACTTTGTTAACATCTTGCCATCTTGCATTTGCTTCCACGTTCTACTTTGTCATTTGTATTGCAAATAGAGGTTATAAATTGCTTTACCATTATTTAGTGAATGGTTTCAGTCAAGGATTTATTGTGTTTGTATACACTGCTATCATACCCCCAGGATCATGCATTCAGACCTCCCTGACTCAGTTTGGCAGGGTGACTAGAGTGCGTATTGTGTTCCATTTCATTCTATTAGGTTTCTAATCCATGTGATTAAGTTGTATACCTGCAAAGCCCTGATAACATGCAAGTAGCCTCTCTCGGGTTCAGATATGTATAAATGCAACGTGCTTGGTGAATTTGCTACCAGCGGCTTTTACTTTGGGGCTGCATAATTTGCAGTTAACAAATGGCGCAGATCAGCTTCTGCTGACAGCTTAATTTAAAGCACGGTGACACCTCACAGTGGGCAGCTAAATAATGAAATTAGGGCTTTATTTCAGCAAATTAAGGCTTTAGTTGAGCAAATAAAGCTTTACAAGATTTATACACATTGAGTTTATTGTAATAGGATAGATATACCCCAGAGCGCTGATGTCAATCCCCCAGGCAGCTGCAGGACGTAGTTTGCCTGACCTTATCCTTCTGTGTGCTTTAGATCTGAAGTTCACTGTGAAACAATGCATGTTCTGTTATTAACTGGCTGCCTTTCAGCAGGGCTCAAGCTGTATTTGGGTGTGCTGCCTCTAACCTAAACTGCTGCAGCAGCAGCTTAAACTCCTGTATAACAACACCCTTCTTATCACTGAAGAACGTCCTCAATGAGAAGCAGGTCACTGTGTTGGGGACAAATCAACCCTTACTGTTCCCTTTTATGCCAGGCTGTGAGCTGGCCATTGTCTAGATGAAAAAAGATAGTTGTGAAGCAGCGAGGAAGAAAGAAATCCTGTGTGTCTATGGGGAGGAGTCTTGAGGCTCCAGAGTACTTTTGCACTGGGAACTGAATTTCTTCTCGCATGCTCAGACCATATGTCTTCCTTCTTATGTCGTCAGGGAACAGTGTCCAGGAAGGACACTCGCAGGTGAAGCAGGCAGACACAAGAGGCAGTAGGTGCCTGGTGCAGTGGGCTTTGTGGGGTCTTCACTGGGAGATCAAAGCTAAGCCTGTGATCAGATTGTAAGTGCTCAGAAGAAGCTTGCTGTTGAGCCCGCTTCTGGTGCCATGGCAACAGGCAATAAATTTCCCTGCAATCCCCATCTCTTTGGTTGTAAAATGGATTAATGATACAGATCTCCTTTAACAGCACCCTTTAAGATATAATGATGAAGAGTGGTTTAGCAGAGACTGAGTCACAGGGCTATAAATGTATGGCTTTATTGGATGCACAGGGCTATTAGAGCAAAACCTTCAGAGATGGGCTGAGGAACAGCATTTCCGTAGAGCCGTGAGTCCTTCCAGGGACTCCCTCCGTTGAAACTCTAATATTCTTTAAAAAACATAGGGGTGGAAAAGGGGTTGGGGAGAGTGTTGAGTGCACATGTGTATTACGAATGTTTTCTGAGTGAATTAGGTTGTGTGTGACGAATTCAGATAATTGACTGGGCACTGGGAGAGAGAGGAGTGCCTAAATAAATGCAGTTGGGAGAAGATATGATGATATGTTACTGAAGAGCACAGCTTCTGATGTCTCATGAACCTTTCAATGCATTGTTTCTTTTGTCATTTTACTTAAGGGTTTCATAGTTTTTCTCTAATAAAGCTTTCTATCTCCTCATTCTCACTTCCACCCACTGGCTTCTCACTTCCTGATGTCTTTTCACCTGCTCTTCTATATCTCCCAGGATTTTTTAGTTTATTTTTATTGCTGTTTTTTTGTTGTTGTTTTGTTTCAAATCAGTGGCATTTTAAATGTCTGTAATAGTGAGAGTTTCCATGGAGTCAGCAAGCAGCTGCAGTCACTGATGTTAGAGAGATTCAGGGTGGAAGATGAGAGAGCTTGAGCATGAGTTGCGTGGAGAAGACAGGGTTGTACTGAGGTTACAGTGAGCAAGGAGAGCTGTATTCTTCTTCAGGGCAGATGACTCCTCTAGCAAAAGCAATAGACAGAGCTGGAGGTGACAAGACTGATGAACAGTCACACAGGGAGCTCGGTAGGAGAAAGACCATTAGAGTAGCGTATGAATGAGAGCCCAGAAATTATGAGTTTGTGCTTGGAGGACTTTTTGGCAGCAATTTAGGGGGAGGCTAAGTAGAGAAATTAAAACTGAAGCATTCAAAATTGAAGCTGCTGAAGATTTAGATTCTTCTGCCAAGGCAAGTGTTAGCTCAGGTAAGGTGGAGCTGCAAAGATTTAAGGTTCGTGTTGTTTGTCCTCAGCATTTTTGAACAGGACTTTCCTTGCTTGTTCTTTTTTTGGTTTGCACATTTATTTTGTCTAAGGTCTTTCTCACTGGAGGTAAAGATTTGTTCAAATCTGATCCTCAGTTCCTTCTTCTTGGACTTTGGGGTGGCTAAAGAGGGTACCAGGAAGTATAGACTACCTTCTATCTCTGGCCTAAATTAGTCTCTCTCCCGCTTACTTTCTGCTTAGTGGTTTCCCTTCTAGCTTCTTCTTTCTGGCTGCTACTGACACACACGAACACAGCTGAGGGCCAGGACAGTGACAAAAAGTCAGGAAGCCTTTCCAGAAATAGCTTCTGCTCCTTCTTTAAGTCCTCTTTGTGCAACCTGACTGTGTGACAGGTGTGGATGAAGGGAAGGAGGGGCATTACGTAAATGAAATTAACCTCTCTCCATCCTTTCTGCTAGTAGCCAGCTGTAGAGTCTGTAGGTCTTCTTCCCATGTGGCTTGCACACTTTACACCTTTTCTCAGCGTATGCCAAGTTCTGGACTAAAGTTCACTGACAGGTTTTCTAGACCAGAGTGAGCACGGTGAGGTAAGGCACATGCTCCTTAGCAGGATGACATCACCTCCCATTACATCTGAGCATCAAAGCCTGGAAGAAGTACATGTTCTTCTGTTCTCTCTCCATGGCATTATATCACGGACTTCAGCTGTATGACCCTGAAGAGATGGGGCTAGTTGCCCTTCCCATGAAGCCTTTCAGCAGCAATTTGTCTGTCTCTAAAAACCTGGCAATCACGTCACTGCATTCTCGTGTTCTGGTCAGTTAGCTTAGCTGCTGTAGGTCATTGAAAAAATCCATTGAACAGATGGATTCCCGAGGTACAAAAACCATCAGGGGACTCTCCACCACTACCCAGGCTCACTGGTGGCACAGCCTTTAAATCAATTTCAGCCAACCGTGTCTCAAAGTCTCCAGAGAGTAAATGATGTGTAATCAGCAAGGGATAAATTCCTGCTAGCTGAATTCATTGCTGCACATATAGCTATGGTTTTCATACAGCGCAGTTTGGCAGAACTGCAAGAGGGAAATTACAGTGATCAATATGCATCACAGTCAGAGCATGATAAAGGTTTCAGCCGTGGCTTGTTCTGCTGTTTTGCGGAGTACTGCAGCGCTCAGGAGCTGAGCCTGCACCAGCACTTTCACTGCTACCAAATATTGAGAAAATGCAGGTGTTGAAACTTTTTTTTTTTTTTTTGAGAAAAACATGGAACCGCCTTTGTACCTGTGCACTGCCTAGAGAGTGAAATAACTTTGTGAAGCCCGTGAGCTTTTTGTGAAACACCCCCATTCCTGGTTTGTACCTGCTTATGCCATAAAGACCGTGGACCAGACTCCAGTGTTTGTCTGGCTCTTAGATTTCCTCCAAGTATTGTAAAGGGCTGGGTAATAATCCTCACTACATTCCCTGTGATATGCACAGTGCATCAAAAAGATGCCATTTAAAGCAAGTTGTGCCAAAAAAGCCTAAGAATTTGGTCAAAGAGCAGTGTATGAAACAAGATTCATCTCTGGCATAACTTGCTGTTTCACCAGGCTGGAAAGATACCTACTGCCTTTTTCACTTGAACTTGTTTGTGCACTGGCTAATGGAGATGAGGAGTTCTACTGGCTGTGGAAAACCATTGATTTAAAATATTAGCAGAGGGATAAAGGAAATAAAGGAGCAGTGTCAGTGCCCTCTCCGTTTCCCTTTTGAACACACTTTGCAGGATAAGCGGGGCGAAGACCGTCATGCCAGTAAAAAGTCAGGGGCCAGTCCTGCAGTGTAGAACCAGAGGAAGGCTACCTCCCCCTTCCACCACCACGGACTTGTTAAATCCATGATCACGCATCAGTTCATTAATAACGAATGATGATAATAGACTCACATAGTGAATAGTAATAAATTCAGTCCCCCAAATCGTCTTCACTGTGGTACCACTCCTTCCGGACCGTGGGGAAGTGTGGTGGGGACAAACGGCTCTGCGCTGCTGCGGCTGCTCCAGGCTCTTCCCACCAGTACCCCAGCGAGGAATTTGTGTTGCAGCACAGCTGAATCTGTCCCACTGCACCGTCTCTGGGAAGCCCCACTTGACATTCGTACAATGAATCCATTTTTCGTTACGGGTTTTATTTTATGAAGCATCCCGTGTGTAGACGGGCCCTGGGTGTTTAGAAGGACCTAACTGTGCCCGCTGTAGCCCTTCTGCTTTCTGTCGGCTGCACAGTGGGTGACAATATCTGCAGAGCGATCCTTGAATCCTGTTAATTTGACATAAAGCATTTTCTGCTGGATTATATTGCTGGCTCCCTGATATTTTTTCTTTCTCAGACTATAGCAATCTTTTTCCTTTTTTTTTTTGTTTTTAACTCACTACAGATAAGCAGTGAAGTTGTTATAACCGTGGTGGTGCCAGCTCTTAAGATTTTATCACAGCTCTCCTAAGATGTTTACCCTGGAGCTCCAGCTCTTGGTCATATTTAAATACAGAGCAATCTTAGCTGATTTATAATTTAAACGGCTTTTGCTTTCAAAGCTACAGGAGGGAGAAAGCAAAAATATGGCACCCAGTATTCCCACACCAAAAGAAAATATTTATTTGTTCTAAATTTTTGTGACACTATAACCCGCCTTAGTGATGGGAAGCGGGAAAGGGGAGCTGATTTAGTCTTTCAGTACTTTTGGGTTTGGCATTTCTGCAATCCTGTGCTTCTGTCCCTTTGGTTTGTAGGCAGTACATGCAAGTAAAATATACTCATATATATTCAGAGCAGCTGTAGCAGGTATTGGTAACACTCGTCGGGAGACAGTGGAGTATGTGACAACTGCAGTATCGAGCAAGGGATACGCCACAATCCTGGAAATATTCCTGGGGTCAAGTGAATGCGATAGAATTTGTGGGTATGTGCATAAGCTGAACTGCAACTGTGTGGAAATGTCTTCCAGAGCAAAGCATTAGGATGTTTCCCAAAGGACCTGCTAAATATTGCTAGATCAGGATCTTAATTTCTCACCATCAGGATGGCGAATAGTCAAAATCCAAAAGGTACCTGACACTAGATAGTCACGTTGAGATAAGTGCAGTGTTGTTTCTCAGCACTACACTGCTCTTTCAGTTTCAGAGCTGTTATATACCTTTTTTTTGGCCCAGATTTTGTAAAAACACATAAACTCATGTGCATGACACCTGGCCGCAGGCTGTGAGCCTTTGTCATAGTGGAAACTTCACAGGTGTTTAGGTGCAGAGTTTTCAGTGAAATCTGTAGCTCGCAGTTCTGTTCGGAGCTTGAATCACAAAAGTACGTGGGCACATGCTTATCGTTTTCAGCCCATTTCTTAGACCTTCTGGAGTTGCTGAGTGAAGCACCTGTCAGAGTTAAGCACACGGTCTTCTGTGTCATGCCTTTGATGCAGGACGCTGCTGGAGTCAGCAGGGGATTTTTCCGGGTAATGACTGCGGGGTTTGGTCCCTTGCCTCTCATTACGTCTCGTTCCTTTCAGGTACCAAAATTTTTTTCTAAACCTGTTTGAATAATTATTATTTTTAACCTTTCCTCACAGGAGTGTTTGCCTTTGGACTTTTTGCCACTGACATATTTGTAAATGCTGGCCAGGTTGTGACTGGGAACTTGGCTCCCTACTTCCTGACTGTTTGTAAACCCAACTACACTGGAAACGACTGTCGCACCCACCACCAGTTCATAAACAACGGCAACATCTGCACTGGGGATGTGGAGGTGATCGAAAAGGCAAGGAGGTCCTTTCCATCCAAACATGCTGCTTTGAGCATCTACTCAGCTTTATATGCCACGGTGAGTGCCAGTGATGCTTGTTTGCTTGCTTGTGTGAGAGTTTTCTGTACGTGCATCCAGAAGGGGCTGTTTTTGAAGAAAAAGAGGGTTGTTTTGGGGAGCGCTGTTTTCTTTATCTGTAGAGGAAAATCCCCTTCTCTCTCTGTTTTACCAATCCTAGCATAAGCAAATCAAATGCTCATTGCTTTGAGGCACTGTAAGATGTGGACACATGAGTTCCTAATCTTGTCTTTGCTGCTGATTTTCTCAGAGGTCTTTGAGTACGCATTCAGCCTCTTCTCCCTGCCCCTGTCTCGTGAACGTTAAAAGAACGTTGAGGCTTGAATGTCTCCTGGATCACTACTATTTCTTTTGTTCACATGCCATGAGTTGTTGAACATTTTAAAATGTAAATTGTGCAATTTCTGTGGGAGGCTGAACTAGGCTGGATTTTGCTCCCCTTGTTTAGGGCCTGAATTCCCTGTGCAAAGAAGGGTGCAATAAAAGTCAGTGCCAGAATTTTGCTGTTATCCCAAAGAGATGGACCACAGTTGACATCTTGACAAGGTGATACTGCTATACTGTCAGGAAGGAAATTGTCAGTCTTTAAAAGTCTAGTGAAACAGATTGTCTGCTCCTTTGTGTTCTTTGGCTAAAGTTTCTGTAGTGTTTGAAAATTGACCCAAGAAGCTTACTCACAAATTAGAAAACCTCAGTGGTTTTGCTGTTTTGACTTAACCTGGTTCTGATCTTAAAATGGCTTAACTAGGTCTTTTTTCCCTGAGTAGCTTGGCTCAAATGAGTGGCAGAGTCTGTCTGTAGGTCATCAGGATTTCCAAAAAGCCTTAAAATTATTAATGACAGAGTATTTACTGAGTATTTTACCGGGGCCTTGGTAGCAGAGGAATAATACACCATATTATGACTATAAAATGAATTGGCTACCTGCTGCTGTTTCAGTATCCATCTGTTTGCACTGAATGTTGTATGAATAATGGCAGACATGTAAACTGGTAACTCCCTTGATCAGGATTTGTTGTGAAGTGTTTGGAAAGCCTGTAACATTTTGCATGCATTACTTCTGAACAGTAAGCAACCGTGTGTGAAATGCAGTTCTCGATAAACTCAACATTGTTGTAGCAGCTGCTTTCATCATGATGAACTCTTAGGTGCAAGCTCCAGGATCAGGCTTGGTCCTGGTTCTGCCCTAAGCTGGTAACATCCTTTCACGGACTTCCCCTGCCTAACCTCCCTTGTTTCCTAGGAAGGCAAGTCTTCTACAAACTGGCCGATTTCTACAACTCTCCATGAGCTTAAGTCCCTGGTAGTTAAGTGTGTTGGAGCCCCAGTCTTTCAAGACTACCTGCAATGGGCCTGGTCTTCTCCCCACACAGGCAGAGCCAGGACATGGAGTTATTTGTGAGCTGCAAGGTCATCAAAGTCTGCCCTTAAGGCATTTCAGCCTACAGTCCAGTTTTAGCCCAGTTCTCTGCCTGAAGACACCCTCTAGCACTGAAGGTGGTGTCACTTGTCTTTTCTCTGCCTGTCAGCTGAGATTAACATGAGCATTACACCAGAAATGCTGTGTTCAGATCTAGCTTTGCTTAATAATTGTGCATCATTTTTTGAGAAGTATCTTGCTGATTGTAATATGTGTGATAATGTGGGCTGCTGAACATAAAACACAAGGTAGTTGGTTCGTAATAGCTGTATTTTGCATGAAGCTCTAGATTTGAGCCATGGAGCAAGAAAAAGAGAACAGGTTGAACATGAGGAGGCAGGAGAATGGAATCAACACAGACATTGTCTTTCATCGTATAAATGTCTGTGGAGATCTGGGAGTCTCCTCCCATCTCTGAACCTTGAGTATCCTCTGCAGCTGTCTTTGAACTGATTTGTTCATTAGTCTGCTAGTGACAGTACTCCCACTGTGATTGGTTTGGCTTTGTGTTTTGGTTTTCGTTGTGTTTTTTTTTTTATAATCTGGGTTTTATATTTAACCAGCTAGGATTTTTCTTGTCACCTGCCAAAGAAGCTAAGGAGAGCTCAAAGCATCACTTTTGCAATCTCTGCAGGCAGAGAAGAATCTTGTATGCCTAAAGTAGGGGGAAGAGAAAACAGCCGGCAGCCCTGGCTTCCATATGCACACAAAAATTAGAATGGCATCTAATGAAGTTTTATTAGTCTCCCAGAAGTATGGCAGGAAGAGATGGCAGTCACAGTACATAGTACACACTGCTGTACAGTTAGAAGCACGTTCTTCTAAGTGTCTTTCCCAATGGAAAATGATAGGCTAGAAATACTCCTTAATTCATTAGCATTTCTGGGGAAAAAAAAAAAAAAAAAAACAACCCGAAAAACAGACGATAAAATCATATGTTGCATATGGGTAACCAAGTTACATCATCTTTAAACAACTGTTACTTCATACTTTTCTGAGAAAGGTCATGGAAGAGTAAATGACAAGGGCATCTAACAGATGGTGATGTTCAAACAGAACACAGAAAATTAAAGTATTTCACCAGCACAACTGGAGGACCTCTTATTGTAGAGAGAAGGTAGATATCCTTGCTGATCCTCCTGTTTGCCTCTGGAGTGAAAGCAAGGAGTATTTTATGGTCACAACAGGGTCTCTATAGTTGAAAGATACAACTAGTCACTTATGTTGACAGTTTGGTAGTGTTTTTAGGATCCTTCAGCTAAGTTCCTGCCTAGCAGCATCCACAAGTAATGCTGTCTGTCACCTCCATCTGGCTAGAAGACTCTACCTAATCACACTGGATCACAACCAGTCTTCTGCGCCTGAGTGGATTGTTTTTTGACTGCATTAGAGTGATACAATATACCTGGATATGAAACTTTTAATATTTGGGAAACTCTGAATAGCAGAGAACACTACAGGAAATCCCTTCTGCAAGCCAGGTCACTGTGACCCCACCAAGAATTTCTTCTATTTCTGCATTAAGATCTACTAGACTAATCAATGAAATTTGAGGCCTTGGCACTTCGAGCAGTTGCAGTGAGCATTGAAGAGACTACATCATGTTCTCCGATACACATCATTGCCAAATGTTCTGCTTCTCTCTCACTGTAGAGATCTCTGTGGTAAAGATTGTCTGTAAAGCTTGTAGGACACAGAATTTTCCAATATTGGTATGAAATTGTGAACTTTCCAAGGAAAATAAACTATCATCACAAATCTCCCCACTTTCTGCTAAAAGGACAAGACCGATTTCTTCCACTCTGCCTTTCTCATCACAGATATAACATCCATTCTAAATTTATATAAGCATGTATTTGCATATATATACACATGTATGTATGTCTTAAATTTGCAAACAAAAAAGCCTCCTTGACTGCCTATGCTGTTGTCTTTCTGAAAAAGATGGGAGAGGAATTACACACAGGATGAATGCTACTATCGCACATTGCACATTGCTAAATACACTGCTTGAGAGTACTGATAAGAGCACAGCAAAGAAACGGAGTAAATAATTTATATAGTTAAATCACATGTAGTTTATTTTTAATATGATTTATTCTATTTTCTTCACATCTTTTTATATTTAATT